GGAAAATAAACTTCAGTCTTCTAGAAGAACGGAGATGTGAAATTAAGAATCTTGATTTTTAAAAATAAAAAATAGCAAGTATAATATAGATGATATTTTATCAAGTAAGAGCAAGACAAAGAACAAAAATCTTACCTGATAAATGAGTGCGACGATTCTTACCATGTTTAGTGCTTACCGGGTAATTGTTAAATATGATGTTGTTTTAGTGGACTAAAATCTTATAAAGAGACTTGGTGGCAACAACCAGAATGAAATATTATTTAATCGTGGAAATGCCATGTCAGCTGCACCTATCAAAATCGGAACAGACCAATTACCAGATCCACCTATCATCGCCGGCATAACCATAAAAAATATTATTAAAAAAACATGAGCTGTTATTCACTTACTTTATGGCCTTGCCGCCTTTTTCTAGCAGAAGCTAAGCGCTTGAAAAGCGACGGTAAATAAGTGGTAGTGTTAAATTTTATAAATAAATGTTTACCGTGTAAAGTGTTTGGTAAACGACCCTAGCTCTAGTTATTAAGGTTAGTTAAATTAAGGGTATTTTGATCATTTTATCTTTTTTGTTTTTTGCTTTCTTGAATCGTCTCCAACAACTTCTCTAAAATAGAAAGATTGAGTTTTTGTTCTCTGAAATGCTCTAACAGCTTTTCTATTTTGTTCAATACCGCACATACATCCATCTGGTTGTGTTGTTCTTATAGAGATAAAGGCGCTTTTACATCTTGTTAGCCCGAAATGGTCCATTTGCAAAAACGAAGCTCTACCAACTGAGCTCCGTTAAGTGTTTCAATCAGTGGAACAAATTTATTAATTTTAACAAAAAATATTATATCTACCTGAAATTTCTTTTTCAGTGGGGACTAGAAAGTAAATATGGCATAAAACCGCACCATAAATACACATCAAAACCTTCAAATATTTGAAATCAAAATAGAAATTCTGGTCAAAGTCAACGAAAATGTTCATAGCGTCCCTCATCTTTTGCTTTCTTCTTCCTCTTCTTTTCATCTTCTTCAAACCCAAATCCGATGCAAAATTTCCACCAAAATCATACCCCTTCGTCGGCCATTATCTTTCAATCTACGCTAATCGCCACCGTCTTACTCAGTGGACGTCCGACGTTGTCCGGAGCTCCCCCACTTTAACCAGCGTCATCCTCCGTCCTTTCGGTCAACGGCGTGTCATCACCGCCGACCCCGCCGTCGTCCAGCATATCCTCAAGACCAATTTCTCAATTTACCAAAAAGGAGACATCTTCCGATCAACCCTCTTCGATGTGCTTGGGAATGGAATCTTTAACGTCGATGGGGATGATTGGAAGTTCCAAAGACAGCTTTCCAGCCATGAATTTAACACAAAGTCGCTTAGGCATTTCGTCGAACATGTAGTGGACGCCGAGCTTCACGATCGTCTCCTCCCCATCTTGACCGCCGCAGCTGCTAACGATACTGTTCTTGATTTCCAAGATATTCTTCAAAGATTTGCGTTTGATAATATTTGCAGAATCGCATTTGGGTATGATCCTGCATACTTAACTCCATCTTTACCACAGGCTAAATTTGCAGTTGCTTTCGAAGATGGTGTTCGTATCAGCAGCGAAAGGTTCCGTTTGGTTTCGCCACTTCTATGGAAGATCCAAAAGCTTCTAAACATGGGATCGGAAAAGAGACTCAAAGAAGCCGTCGCCGAGATCCGTGAATTCGCCATGAAAATTTTAAAGGAAAAAAAGGAAGAACTTGCCGGCAATCCTTCGATTCAATCCGTTGATTTGTTATCTCGATTTCTAAGCTCCGGTCATACTCATTCAGATGAAAACTTCGTGATCGATATAGTCATCAGCTTCATTCTCGCCGGAAGAGACACAACCTCGGCGGCGTTGGTCTGGTATTTCTGGTTACTTTCTAAAAATCCGGCGATCGAAAATGAAGTTGTGAATGAAGTCAAAGAGAAATCAGATTCTCCAATTTACGATGAAGTGAAAGATATGGTTTACATCCATGCTTCTCTGTGTGAAAGCATGAGGCTTTACCCACCGGTTCCGGCGGATTCGAAGATGGCTAACGCTGATGACGTTTTGCCGGACGGAACCGTGGTGAAGAAAGGTGTGATGGTGAGTTATCATCCATATGCAATGGGAAGGGTGGAGAAGGTGTGGGGGAAAGATTGGTCAGAGTTCCGRCCGGAGAGGTGGTTAGAGAAGGATGAGAAATCGGAGAAATTGCGRTTCACGGCGAGGGATCCGTATTCGTATCCGGTSTTTCAGGCGGGTCCGAGGGTTTGTTTGGGGAAGGAGATGGCGTTTTTGCAGATGAAGAGGGTGGTGGCGGGTGTTTTACAGCGGTTTATGGTGGTTCCGGTGGCGGAGGACGGTGKTGAGCCGGTTTATGTGGCGGCTTTGACGTCGAAGATGAAAGGTGGGTTTCCGGTGAAGATTAAGGAACGAAAATGACGATTATTAGTAATTTTTAATTTTGCAAGTAAATAAGTTATTTTATATTTGATTTTAACACAACTTTGAAAAATTCATAAATTAAAAAATATTGTAGAGTGATTAAGTGATCAAAATAATTAAGAAACTCTTATAATATAGTACAAAATAAAATATAATTGTTCGGTAATTACTTGTAACGAAATTAGGATGTTGAATGGTTAAGGAAAGTCTATAATACAAAATAGGTTGTCCTATGTCGGTCCGAAATTGGACCAAGACCATTTCTTATAAATAAAAAATGAAATAAAACCTTACATTTTAACGCTCTTAAAAAACAAACGCTGACATATATGTCAGTGCACATGAGTTACTTTTAACACATTTGAATGATTTTTTTCAAATTTATCTATTTATCACGTTAATAATTAAAAATAATAATATAAAGTGACTCATTTTGGTCCCTATGGTTGTATGATTTTCATGGAAAATGTCCTTAAACTTCATTTATTACAATAAACCCTTTTGGTTTGTATTTCTTTACAGATTTGGTCTTTGTCACCAACACCATTATAATCAGCCGTTAAATTGAGACATTTTAGTCATTTATTCATTTCCCATACATTTTAATTAACAGTAATTAAAAGAAAATTGAAGAACATAAAATCCAAGGGGGTATTTTGTCAAATATCCAAACTAACGAACACCATTGTCCCTTCCCCAACACACCCCCACCGAATGTGGGAATGAGAAAGGTTTACTGAAGAGGGGAGAAGAGGATCGGCGATGATTTACTAGAAAAGGAAGGTGCCACCGATGGTTGTTGAGAGACAAGTATAAATGGGAAGGAAATTTTGAACAAATGGTTTTACCCTCGTGTATAAGTTATGTGTTTGCCTTATAAGATTTTCAGTTCTTGTCATATTCATTAGGTAAGGTAAATGACACATGGTAAATTTTTACCAAATAAGGGGTTGTTTGTTTTTCTTTTAATACTTTCATTAAGAGACAACATCTGAATCATTAAGAGGTAAATCTTGTTTGGTAGAAGAAAATTCGTCTATTAATGGTTCTAAAATCATCTGAATGATTTTGCATCATGGATCTCCCTTAACTATTCAGCACCCTAATTTCATTGTAAACAATTACCCAACAATTAAAAATTATATTTCACTTTACACTATATCATAAGAGCATCTTAATCATTATAACAACTTAATCATTATGTAATAAATCATTCAACAACTACCAAACAGCTCCCAAGTGTTTAGTAAACTACCCATAAATTACAATTTTCGACCACATGGTTTAGGAATACAATTTGTTTTTATATATATGGTTTATTTATTAAAAAAATGATATAAATTTTGTTTTTAGATTTTGGCCCCAAAACAAAAAAAACCCCATAAAACACATGAACAAAAGCATTCAATAAAATACAATACTAATAGAATGGGCCAAAAATGACTTCTGACTAACCACGAAGGTCGTGTCTGATTGGTTTGAGCTTGACTTCCAAGGTCAATAATACCAGGAGGTATCAGGCTCAAATCGAAGAAGAAATAAAAATTCTTTTGTGACCACGGAAGTTCAAATGCGATGACTTCAGGCTATCTACAAAGCAGGTGGTCGTAATGAGATTAATCAACTTGTATAACATGTTGAATATCCAAATTAAATAAAAAAAAAAAAAACAAATTGACTTGTGACGGTCAAAGAAAAAGGTGTAGAAAGGGAACACAAACTTGTTCACTTAAAAGTTGGTCTCATATGTCCTTCTCCTTCTAGAAATATATGGAAAATGTGTGTTCACATCTCATGATTTATAGTTTTCAAATCATATAAAGTAAATTGATATATTTATTAAGGGTATAATTGTTATTTTTCAGACGTAGGTAGTATATATGATTTATAAATGGCTTATTTGAAATTTGAAAATTCAACGGATCATGTTCTTGTTAATTCATATTTACGAGTTGGATCATTAATGAAAACACATGGACCTAAGTTGTTGATATATTTGATGAACGAACTCATTAAACAACTACAACCATAGGTGTTCAATTTATTAAAAAGTTGTAAACACGAAGATGTAACACGCTAAAAGCACAACAATGATAGACATATCATGGGCACATATTTCATTAATGATACCGATGCATCATTAGATGATTCTTACTATGGTTAGCGTTTATCAGGTAAATTATTGCATATGATGTCGTTTCAGTGGACTAAAATCTTATTAAGTAAATAAATGATTATGTTGAATTTTACCGATAAATGTTTATCTTGCAAAGTGTTTGGTAAATGACTCTAGCTCTAGTTAAAAATGTTAGTTAAATTAAGGGTGTTTTGACCATTTTACCTTTTTTATTTTCTGTTTTATCATAGTAATTAATTAATGATAATTTTAATTAAGGAATGTATTTTACTTTGTAAATTACATCATTATTTTTAAATTTTATATAATTTATCAGATATATATATATATANTATATATATATATATATATATGTATATCTATCTATAAATACATATCAAAACCTTCAAAATATTTGAACTCAAAATAGAAACTGTAGTCAAAGTCAACGAAAATGTTCATAGCCTCCCTCATCTTTTGCTTTCTCCTTCCTCTTCTCTTCATCTTCTTCAAACCCAAACCCCATGCAAAATTCCCACCAAAATCGTATCCCTTCGTCGGCCATTATCTTTCASTCTACGCCAATCGCCACCGTCTCACTCAGTGGACGTCCGACCTTGTCCGGAGCTCCCCCACTTTAACCTGCGTCATCCGCCGTCCTTTCGGTCAACAGCGTGTCATCACCGCCGACCCCGCCGTCGTCCAGCACATCCTSAAGACCAATTTCTCAATTTACCAAAAAGGAGATATCTTCCGATCAACCCTCTTCGATGTGCTCGGAAATGGAATCTTTAACGTCRATGGGGAGGATTGGAAGTTCCAAAGACAGCTTTCCAGCCATGAATTTAACACAAAGTCGCTTAGGCATTTCGTCGAACAYGTAGTGGACGCCGAGCTTMACGATCGTCTCCTCCCCATYTTGACCGCCGCMGCTGCTAACGATACTGTTCTTGATTTCCAAGATATTCTTCAAAGATTTGCRTTTGATAATATTTGCAGAATCGCATTTGGGTATGATCCTGCATACYTAACTCCATCTYTACCACAAGCTRAATTTGCASTTGCTTTCGAAGATGGTGTTCGTATCAGCAGCGAAAGGTTCCGTTTGATTTCGCCACTTCTATGGAAGATTCAAAAGCTTCTAAACATCGGATCGGAAAAGAGACTCAAAGAATCCGTCGCCGAGATCCGTGAATTCGCCATGAAAATTTTAAAGGAAAAAAGGGAAGAACTCGCCGGCAATCCTTCGATTCAATCCGTTGATTTGTTGTCTCGATTTCTGAGCTCCGGTCATTCAGATGAAAACTTCGTGATCGATATCGTCATCAGCTTCATTCTCGCCGGAAGAGACACAACCTCGGCGGCGTTGGTCTGGTTTTTCTGGTTACTTTCTAAAAATCCGGCGATCGAAACTGAAGTTGTGAATGAAATCAAAGAGAAATCAGATTCCCCAATTTACGATGAAGTGAAAGATATGGTTTACATCCATGCTTCTCTGTGTGAAAGCATGAGGCTTTACCCGCCGGTACCGGTGAACGGGAGGATGGCTAACGCCGATGACGTTTTGCCGGACGGAACCGTGGTGAAGAAAGGTGTTATGGTGAGTTATCATCCATATGCAATGGGAAGGGTGGAGAAGGTGTGGGGGAAAGATTGGTCAGAGTTCCGGCCGGAGAGGTGGTTAGAGAAGGATGAGAAATCGGAGAAATTGCGATTCACGGCGAGGGATCCGTATACGTATCCGGTGTTTCATGCGGGCCCGAGGGTTTGTTTGGGGAAGGAGATGGCGTTTTTGCAGATGAAGAGGGTGGTGGCGGGTGTTTTACAGCGGTTTATGGTGGTTCCGGTGGCAAAGGACGGTGGTGAGCCGGTTTATGTGGCGGCTCTGACGTCGAAGATGAAAGGTGGGTTCCCGGTGAAGATTATGGAACGAAAATGACATTATTTATTAGTAATTTTTATTTTTACACGTAATTAAATTATTTTATATTTGATTTTAACGCAACTTTGTAAAATTCATAAATAAAAAAATGTTGTAGAATGATTAAGTGATAAAAATGATTAAGATACTTTTATAATATAGTATAAAACAAAATATAATTGTTCGGTAATTACTTACAACAAAATTAAGGTGTTGAATGATTAATGGAAGTCTATGATACAAAATAAGTTGTCTTACGCCGGCCTGAGGCCGAGCCAAGCCCATTTGACCATCTCTAAACGTAACAACCCTTTTTTTAAAATAAAATTCTATTACTATTATTATTATAATTCTTTCTTAGTCATTACAATAATATATTTTCAAATTATTTAGTATTGCATAATTATACTTTGAAGTTTTTTCTCATTATAATAATAGTAACATTTTGATTTGAATTAAATATAACTATGACCCAACTTACCAAGTTTTTAATGACATATCATTGGCGTAACTTACGCTAAAAAAAACTGTTTTATTTTACTTTAGACAGAGATGAAGGGAGGTTTTAGAGGTAAGTTTTACGTATTCTTCAGAGATTTGCATTTGATATCATTTTGCAAATCGCTCTGGGATAAATGATGATTTTTAACAAATAATTATACTTTTGGGATAAATTAAATGGCAAATTGTATGAAAAAGTAACGTATTTTAACTTGTTTCATATTTTGGATAACATACTTTTAAAACTTTAATTTTGGTACCTAAGATGTAAAGTTTTAATTATTTAAGTATCCGGGTAATCGGTTGAAGTATTAACCGGTTATTATGCTGATGTGGCGAGTGATGTGGTATCCAACTCCGTATTAAGAAATCTATGTTTATATCACTCGCCACATCAGCATGGTATCCGGTTAATTAAATGTTTAAAATTTTACATCGTAGGTACCAAAATGTAAGTTTTGAAAGTACGTTACTCAAAATAAGAATCAAGTTAAAGTACGATAYTTTAATTAAATCTAGAGTATTATTGTAATTAATACTGAAAGTAAGATAATAGGAAATAATGTAATTAATATATATGAAACTCATAGGTTCCATATTTTATTTATTAATAATAATACTTCCATACACCATATATTTCATAATCTCGAACCAATGACATGCAAGTAGCTTAGCCAATTTCGGGAGTTCGGACGACAATCCCATGAGAGTTCACACGAACTCGAACTTGAACTCGGTCGCACCGGAAGTCCCCAGTCACTGGAGTGCCGTCCAGTATCACAAACGCACAAACGCGTCAACTCGTGGATTCTCTCTTTCTATCGTCACCACTGCATCTTCTCCTCTTCGTCCTACAACCTCAGGCCATGAACGCTTTCCGGTATCAATTATCCCATCACAAACTTTTTAAATTGATCTTTTAAAACATGAATTTGCAGATGTTTCTTCAAATCATATGAAATACAAAAAAAATTTACAAAATCAAACGAGAGGAAATAGGTTTATACCTTCACAATCAGTCATTTTTAGATGAGTTGTGAAGAATATGAAAAACCTTGGGGTATAAATAGAGGTACACACGTATACCGATAACGTATGAGATGTCGTGTTACGTTACGGGTCGTATTTGGGTAGGCAAAAGTCCAAACTTTTTGGATCAAAAGTCCAAATACCATTTTTGTTGACTTTTTAAATTTGAACACCAAAGCAAATCACCACTTTTTCTTTTATTTTCCAAATTAGAGCACAACAAACATAAGATATTTGGTTTGGTTTTCACGGAAACATTATTTCTATCTTTTGAGACAGATAAAAACTAGAAAGGCTTGTATACGTATTATTAGGGGTGCTCAAAAAACTGACCAATTTGATCAACCCGATCAATCCAACCTAATTCAACGCGAAATAACTCAACTCGAAGCAACCCGGTATCTAATCGAGTTGTAAAATTTTCAAATCGTAAGTTTTGAGTTACTATTATTTGAACTCAACTCAACCCGATGAACCCGATATCCTTTTATTTATTGGGTTTGATATGATTGTTGAATTTTATTAATATATACATTAGACAATTACACTATCACGTACGCTCTTCATATACACATATTTTCAATCTATTGACATCTCTATATAACTCATTCGTATATATGTTCAGTAACTGTGAACATATATATGTAAATTGAGAAAATTAACTGAATGTGATATATGTAGGAACTTGTATCAAATGGTTGATAATGAAAAGAAATTATGAATAGAGAAATAACATATTCAATGTTAGAAGAATATTTTAATATATCAAAGTATCAACCCGACCAACCTGTATGGTTTGGGTAGAGTTGGATTGCATTTTGATTTGGGTTGGGTTAAGATTTCTCAAATCGCAAACATTTGGTTGGGTTGTTCAAATGTCTTCAACCTGATCAACCCAACTCATGAATACCCCTGCATATTACCTCTTATGTTGTCTCCGGATAAGGTATATTATATTTGTTTGGTTTTACGTAGACATTTCAACGATAAAATTCATAACAATATACATAAATCGAAAGCCCTAAAACTATGTATATTAACATAAAACATTATGAGAGTTTAACCGAAGCCTACAAAAGATGACTTGGTGTCCATTTTCGGGATCTTCACCATTTATATAGTCAAATATTCGGGCACGAGATTGTGTGATTCTGCTACTCGTATGGTGGTTTCGCCGTGTAGCTACTTTTAGAGGGTTTTTACAAAAATATTTTTATTGCAAGTGACGATGATATTGTGAGTGTAACCGTGTTTGTTTATTATCAAAATGTTAAATGTCCCTCAACGATGCCAAACTTGAGGATGGTGGTTGGAAATCAGTTACATTTTTAAACTTTCAAAGACTTTACTGGTTTCAATTTACACCTCTTCTTTTTTTCAAATTTTATTTTATGCCTTATCATAGCAATTAATTAATTATTAGTTAAAATACATTAAAAATACGTATTTTCTTTTACATATTACACCATTTGAAAGGTCTCGTAGATACTTTCGAAACAAGCTTTTAAAATTAATTATGTTTTAATTATTGACACAAATAAGAAATAACATATTTTTAATGTTAAATCAATATTTAATGAAAATACCACATTTTGGAAAATGAAAATATGAAATATTACTAAAATTGTTATCAAATACATGGTAATACGAAATAACGTTGCATAATTACATATATGAAACTCATA